ATCCCTTTCAAGGGCCATGATGGATCCCAGATCCTCTGACTCTCATTCTAACTTCGCCTGGTCCATCCCCCAGAGTGTGATCTCTCTAACAAGACCAGCAGGGTTGCATTGTCTTTGATTCATCATCACTAATTGGCCCCATTTTATTATTCACATTTATTACCTGATGTCCCCTTAACATCTTTATTTTTTTTAAATATTGTTATTGATTTTAGAGAGAGAGGAAGGGAGAGGGGGAGAGAGCCCTCTATGCCCTCAGCATTCTTGTTTAATAAAGGAAGGTGGTTTCTTACAGCAAACACTTTGATCCGTTGGCCTGTGGGCTTTCTCCAGATGAAGGAGCCAGCTCTAGGCAGGCCCGGAGTCCAAGTGTGTAGAATCAATGCTTGGCCAGTGATGGGTACAGTGGGTACATACTCTAGCTCTTTCCTCTCAGGTGGGGGGCAAGGAGCACCACTCTCTACAGGTGCTTGGTGGAGTGACGCCCAGCTGCCCACAGGAGTAAGCTGCTCATTCCATCATCCTACACTGGCCTCTATCCCTTCCCCGGATCACTTCCCAGGTTCCCTGAAGTGCCTTTAGGATGATCTTCCTAACAGACTATTTTATTTGAAACTCGTGCTGGGGACTGGTCCTGAGGGCCCTCCATCTATGACACTGAAAATCACATTAAAGACCCTCCAACCCAGGGATATTCACATAGTGGGGTGTGCCGCCGAATAGATTACAGAATAGGCCTAACAGCCTATAGAAACTCAGTACAGACTAAAAATGTTTGTACTATAATAATAAAAATCATATACGTCAGCTCGTTAATTTCTGGGCAAAGAAAGGAGAGAGTTAACACTTCATTCAACCAAAGCAAATTTCATTTGGATGAAAACCTCGATATAAAAATTGAACTGTTAATATACTAGAAGAAATCATGAGGCATTTTGAAACATAATTTTAAGCTTACCAAGGAACACACACACCATAAAGAAAAATATATACTAAATTAATATAAATAAAAATTATCTCTACTGAGTTATCAGTAGGCCTCACTCATCAGAGCTCCTAGGTGACAACCTTTTCCCAAAACAGGAGGTCACATGGAACTCTTCGAGGTTTTTTCGGATTCCATGATGAGGCTCTCTAGGGCCTCTGCCCCCACAGCAACTTGGTATCTGCTTTTGTTCTCTCATCTTCTGTGACAGAGAAGAGGCTCAGGACTTCTCCAAAAAAAAAGTGTTGTTTCTGGTTCACCAGCATTATGACAATACAGGCTCAGCACACCAGCCACACCTCCCAGCCGAGGTCCCGTCAGGAGCCCAGGTTGTTAGCACCCGGGGGTGTCCACCTGAAAATCAGAGCCAGGCCAGAAGTAGAAACTGGCCGGAAAAAAAAAAGCAACATGAGGAGTTTGGTTTTATCCGACCTATACATCCCTTACGGTAGAGAGGGATCCTCAAACCCATGTCATTGAATCTCCATCACCTGGTTCTTGATTCTTCCTCTGTAAAACCAGCTTAGAGTTCAAGCTCTCCACTGACTATCCTTGGAGGCAGCCATTCCATAAACCATATTCACCACAGTGACTCAAATTTGTTTCTATGAGACACCCACTTAGGCTCTATCAGCCTATTATAATAATCTGGGGAAGGTCAGTCTCTCATGTACAGCAACCATATGACTAGCTGATTCGTGTTTAAAAAATGAGGGCACTGACAGATCATCTGTTAGCTCCTTATATGCAATTTCCCTTTGAGAGTCAAGGAAAGTCAGGGAGGGAGTAGGACACTTACTATAAAATCTGTTTGTTTGGGTTTTTTTGTATTATGTTCTGCCAAATAGGTGACAGCTTCAACTTTAGGATAGTTCCTGGATAGCCATTCCTGTCTTGGACTAGCCATCCTGAGAACAGAGCCAGGGACATCTCAACTTGGTTGAGAGTCTTCTTATAAAATATGCAAATGAGAAATAAAATGAGAGTCTTTTCATCAAAATATTTGGAGGCCATGAAGTTGAGGGAGGTTGAATATGCTGAATGACAGAATCTGGTTCAAAACGCCCTAGACATCCTTGCACAAGACACCAAATCCCGCAGGATGAAAGGTCAGAGCCTTTCTGAGGTCTAGATGAGTAGTTATTAATGCACATAGCACATGAGCTGGGTAGTTCTAACTATATTTAAAATTTTGGGCCCAACTGGTGTGGGTCAGTGGTTGAGCGTCAACCTATGAACCAGGAGGTCATAGTTCAATTCCTGGTCAGGGCACTTATATATTTTTTTTTTAACTGGGAGAAGAACTGATTTGAACCACCCACACACCCTAACATTATTATTTCCTCTCAGTGCTTCTTCCTGAGGTGTACCATCATCAGTATACCTGTTATCAGGTAGAAGAGCTTGAGAACTGTTAGTCTATACTCTACCTACTGCAAATCTATAAGAAAGATAGAAACAGTTTCTAATGAAAAAGACATAGATGTGTACAAGATATTAACTTCAAGATAAGCCACACTTACTGCTGACCACTGTTGCCATTAAATTCTGAATGCCAACACTGATACATTGATGAAAGTGTATATTATTCAGCCTTAAATAAATTCTGCCATGTGCGACAACATAAATGGACCTGAAAGACATTACGCTAAGTGAAGTCAGTCAGTCACGGAAGTACAAATACTGCATGCTCCACTCGTTGAGATATTTAAAATAGTGAAATTCATAGAAGCAGAGAATAAAATAGGGAATTTTAGGACCTGGCGGCGGAGGAAGTGGGTTGTTGTTGTTCAATGGGTACAGAGTTAAAGATATACAAGAGGAATGAATTTTAGAAATTTGCTGTACAACATTGTGCCTATAGTTAACAATAATAGTATGATGCACTTATTAAGAGGGTAAATCTCATACTAAGTGTTTTTAACACACAAAAAGAACAAAGGGACAGAAAAACTCTTTAGAGGTGAAGAATAGATTTTTACCTTAATTTTGGAAATGATATTATGGTGCATGCATAAGTCCAAACTCATCAGAATGTATACAATAGACATGTAATTGTTTTTGTATATTACACATAGCTTAATAAAGCTGAAGACAAAGAAGAAACATCAAAATTTTATGACTTAGTTTTTCCTCCAACACCAGTTACTTATTTCCCATCCGAAAGTCTGGAAAATGGTCCCTGATGCACAGCGGGGAGAGGAAATATCCTAAGAGTCTATTCTCATGCCAGCGATGCCCTGATTCACATTCAACACTTCTCAGCCCACGTGACCCACAATGAATGAGACATCAAACTAAAATGCAGCTGTATCCCCCTAAGTCACCAAAAGGAATGTGGCTTATTATCACCCAAAGGCAGACATGTTGGGCTGTGCAACATGAGACACACATACATGATCTAAATGCATAAATCACATGACAGCTTTCTTGAAGGAAGATGAAGCAAGAAAGACACATAAGAGATGATCCAGGAAGAGCTGAAGTGAGGAATCCTAACCCATCAGGAAAAGGAAACAATGTTTCCCATCCATCTTGAAAAGGTTAGCCAGGAAAACAAACCTGGCTAATTTCCTAATCACCTGTTAATTAGGACAAACAGGACAAGGAAAGAGCACAGCTTCTGATGACAGCAGCCCTTAGCAGGGTATAAAAGGGGACCTGGGGCAAGCAGACTTCCAAACCTTCCAAACCACTTT